CTATCAGTCGATCCTCATGTCGTGACCAGCCCTTGGTCACGTCGTGGGAAAACAAACTTAGCGCAATTACAAACTCAGTCACGATCCAACTCAGTCACAATCCAAGCTACCAACACGTTGTGATGGTCAGGCCATCACGTCGTGATAGAATCCGTCCAAAATAACCGGGAAACCCCCAGTCTTCACGTCGTGACGAGGAGGCTGTCACGTCGTGAAACTGGACTTTCCACAACTTAATGGATTCAGCTCTCCATCCATTAAGCCATCCATTCATTCCATCCAGAAGGCTTCCTAACGATCAAAACAACCTAAAGATCGATGCTTTTCAGCCATGCATGTCCATTGTTAGTCTAAAGCTCAAACTAGGTCAAAATGGAGAAACAACACCAAAAGTCTCATGCATGGGTTCAATATACTAGCAAAATTCAGATCTAACACATAAAACACTCAAAGGACCTCAAGGATCGATATGTTGCTAACTTTATGGAATCCTACCATTCCAACTAGCTCATACTTGAAGAAAATGGGATAAAACCTTAGATCTAACAACTTAGAACAATAAAGTTTGGACTTGAAAACTTACAAAGGTCCAAAGATGCCAAAATGAAGTCCCAAAGCTTGCCAAGATCTCCACAACACTACCAAAGCCTTTTTCTTCCTTCAAAAATAACCAAAAACACCAAGATGACCCCAAAAATGGATTATAGTGATTAGGGTTTTCCAAAGGGGATTAGGAAGTGATGGAGGCTGAGGGTGAAGGAAACCCTAGCCCCTCACTTCCTTTAAATAGGGTCTAAGTCCATAAATTAGGGTCTTCACCACATCATATGTCACGTCGTGACCATCATAGTGTCACGTCGTGACACTTAAATGAGACTCAACTACTTCCAAGGCTAAATCCTACATGATATTCTAAAGCCCAATATGGCCCAATCTTCTAAATTGGGCCCAAAACCCATCATGGGCCTAAATCCAAAGGAGCCCAAAAATACAACCCATAAGCCCAAAATATAAGTCTAATGGCCCAACAAGGCCCAAACTAAGAAAACCCAACCAATGGCCCAAATTGAGAATACCAAGCCCAACGTCATCTGCTGAGTGTGCGGGGCGTACTCAGCCTGTATGCTAAGCATACTTCGTCTGGGGTCAGTACGCGTAGCGTACCAGCTCGGTACGCCCAACGTACTCCCCAGACTACCAAACCATCTCATTAAGCACTTAATCGGCTAAGACAAAGTACCAAACTCTCATATCTTATTCTTTAAGGTTACTTATTACGTAAATTTGGCAACTTTACACTCATGCATGGATGAAAGGGACTCAACAGCTCAAAAAGGGCTTCATAAAGGTCTTAATGCTTGCATGGTCCAATATCTTCCATAAAGTTGACATTTTTATGAACATGGAGACCAAATGGAGCCAAGATCTAGCATCCACAACTTCTGGAGTAGATCAAAAGCTCACCTTTAACTCGAAAGTCTCCAAAAGTGCACAAAGTACGCCATAAACTAGATCTAACACCAAATACCATCAATGTGAGAGCTTTTTACCTCAAAATGCCTGCAAATGAGAAGAAGATCCTAGATCTACAAGCTCAATCTATCCCCTCAAGTGCTCCTCTTCTTCTTCTACTTCACAATCCACCAACAAACACTCTTTCAAGCTCAAAACTCACCAAATCACTCTAGGGTTTCGATTTCATGGTAATGGGAGATGGAGGTTGGTCTAAAATGTCCAAAAGATGATATAATGATGCTTAAATAGGGTGCAAACCCTAAAAATTAGGGTTTTCATATGGCTGGATTATGCCCCGTGTACTCCCAGTACGCCCAGCGTACTCCATGAAGGTCTGTGATCCTTTCAGCCTAGTATGCCCAGCGTACTCCCTTGTACGCCCTGCGTACAAGGCTTAGCCTTCTAAACCACCAACTTCCAAAGGCCATAACTTCTTCGTTCTGAGTCCGATTTTGATGATCCTTATATCCACGGGAAGGTAACAAGAAGCTCTACACTTCTATTAACTCATCCTTTCCTTAAAACTTCCCGAACTAAAATCCAAAATTCATAAAAAGCCCGAACTGACACTTTACCGATATACCCCTTAGCTCCAAAACACGAATCGAACTCCCAGTTTATCCAGATTACATTACCTGCACCCAAATAGGTCTAAATCCCACTTTCCCAAAGGCCCTAATCCTTGTGATAACCGATATTCAGGTCACAGCCCCGAATTAGGACACGATTCGGAACAGGGTGTTGCATTATACAATTTAACATTTTTCCTAAAGTAACTAGAATGGGATTTCATAAAAGGTTCTAGTACTTTATACATTATATTGTTAATGTGATTATGTATTATCAAATCCGTTAGGCTAACGACCATCCACCATACAAAGAAGCTATGGGTGAAAAGGACACCCATTTAACGGTCATTTTATAGGTCGTTTCCTTATACCTCTCTTATAGTATGGCTTCGTGAATGAGGCGTACTAGAGATTCGACTGACTTTTAATTATACATATAGTAATAGACATTTATACATATGTATAGGATGTATTTAAAAACCTTTTAAACTACAAGGTTCAAATCATATTAATTCAATTAACATTTAATAATTAGTATTTGAACTAAATAGGATTTTAAGAATTATCTATTAATTAGACTTTTAATTAATTTTCTTAAATCTTATTAGGATAATTATATTATCTTATAATTGATAATTATCTTATTTATCTTCCTTTCATATTCAAATTATGATTCTAAATTACTTGGTTGATATATTCAGATTTTATACATTTAAAATAACATTGATTAACTAATAATTATCCTATCTTTTGAATTAAGGCAAGAAAATCTGAAAATCACATTCCAGACAGGTTTCACGTCGTGACAGAGGACTAGTCACGACGTGGACAACAGTTTTGTCAATTTTTGTTTGTTTTGATTTCATCTATTATGTACAATTAATGTGAAAATCAAGGCTCTGATACCACTGATGAGATTTCTAGGTTACAATAACAATGTACTTGCGGAATTTCACCTAACACTTACAAGTACATGCTACCTACTGGATCTATGTCTTTTTCACATATTAAAACACAAACTAAAACCCTATGAATCAAGAAAAGGTATGTTTATTTATGGTTGCTTATCACCTTAATGAAAGAACATAAACGAACATGAACAAAGTAATCTCTTAAACGAATAAACATGAACAAGGAAATTCATTCGTTTATGTGTTCGTGTTCGTTCATTTGTTCGGTTAAACTTAAAAGTAAACAAGCCATATTTGTGTTCGTTTGATTCGCTTACAGCCCTACAGTTATACCGTTTCATGAACTGGTTTTTTAAAACGAGTTTGATCAAATCAATCAGAAGCCATTTTTAATGCTTGGAATACCAAGCCGGTAGCAGTTAGATTTGTCTAATTCGGGACCATTTCTAATCAAACGGGTTAGATTCAGTCTCTTATTTAATTCTCCAAACCAATTTTTCGTACCTCTAGTTAAATTAAAATAGTCTTTGGTTTTTTTGCACCAAAAGACATTTTGTTTAGCGGTAGGGTGCCCGACCTACCCTGCTGAGCATACCGGGGTGCTCAACCTACCCCTGTTAGGCATACTAGGGTGCCCAACCTACCCCTGTCAGACATACCGGGATGTCCGACCTACCCCTGTCAGGCATATCTGGGTGCCCGACCTACCCTCCGTTTTATCTCAACCAATTACAAGGACTATTTCACCCCCAACCACTACCACATAATAACATATCATAAACATATTGTTAGGCATATATGGGTACTGTCTACCCCTTCAGTCTTTTTCAACCGGTAACCGGGGACTATTTCACCCCTCCTACTACTATTACATAATATCATAGCATACTAGCACATAAAGCATAACATATAGTAGCATACCAGACAATTATCACAAAGACAATCATCTCAACTATAATCACCTACTAGTGGGCCGGCCTTGGTGCCTTAGACCCACTTCTACTGGAAGGTAACTCACCTCAAATGTTGTGAAGTAGTTGAACTGTCCTCGGCTCTGCAATCAACTCCCCTCAAACTCCTACACATAAAAATATCATTTAATTACCCTTTCATACTCATAGCCCCCTTAAGGGTCAACTCTAGTCAAAGTCCAAGTCAAAGTCAATCTTCTGGTCAAATTCAACGTTATGGTCAAATTCAACCTTCTGAGTTGACTCAACTCGCCGAGTTGGTCCATCAACTCGTCGAGTTCCATAAATCATAAACACTGGAATCGCGACCCAACTCGATGAGTTCTTTCATGAACTCGTCGAGTTCTTCCCTATAATAGAGTCGAGACTTTTCAACACAACTCGTCGAGTTCTTCAGTCCTCAAAACCCAAAAATCATGGCCAACTCACTAAGTCATCTCCTAGACTCGCCGAGTTTGCTCAATAATAGAAAGGGTTGGGGACCACGATCCAACTCGCCGATTCGGATGAACAACTCGTCGAGTTCTCTTAGTCTAAATCCATTCAGTCACTTCCAATCAAGTTCAATGCTTCCAAACCATAGATATGGTCCCCTAAGGCTGATATATTACATAAAGTTCCTATCTTTACTTGCATGCATGGACTACTTGGCTCAAAAAGCCAAAAGGATGGTTCATAAGTTGCATGGGACCTTCATGGCCATAAAGTGGGAACCTTTATGCCATGAAGTCCCCTAAGGACTCTAGATCTGAAGGGTTTTCCCCACATTGGACGTCCAAGTCCCAAAGACTAGCATTCTTAGACCAAAACATGGAGAAATCACTCTAAGACAAGATCTAAACATTGAATAGACAAGATAGGAGCTTTATACCTCCAATGAACCAGAAATGGAGCTCAACTTCTAGATCTACTCTTCTCCTTCATGTCCTTGCTCCTTCTTCAAGAATCCTCTTCTTCAATTTCACAAAGAATGCACAAAAATGGCTCAAAACACTCAAAAATGGATTAGGGTTTCATGGATAGGGTTTGGGATGATGGAGGCTGTAAATGAGGCCAGCCTTTGGAGGTTAAGGTGTTTAAATAGGGTGCTAAACCCTAAAAATTAGGGTTTCATTCTGGCAACCCTACTCGTCGTGTTGAGGCTCTCGACTCGACAAGTAGGCTTTAAATCCCGCGTCCAAATTCCATTCCTACTCGACGAGTTTGGGGCCTCCAACTCGTCGAGTTCCTGTACAAAAATGAATAAATTGATTTAAAATACATACCAGGAACCGGGCGTTACGTCCATGTAAGGTCTCTGATTTCTTGTACGGTTTAGGTTCTAAATTAACTGTTTGTATTTCTATTTGGGTTCGATTTTAAGAATATCAAGGTCTGTTGTGTTGGTGGTGTTTGATTTTGGGTATTGCGTATTTTGATGTTGGTTATGGGTTTTTTGTTAGTTGCAGCTGTGGGGCTTTGTTACCTGTGTCGAAGAACCCGACGGACCATCATCGCCACAGTAGGCATCTCAATTTGGATTTCAGGTGCGTTTACCATCATCACTTCTCCCCTTCTTTCTGAAATTCCGATTAACATACATGGATTCGGTAGATAATAGATTAGAGAGGTGGAGTGTAACATGTCGTTGATTTCAAACCCAGATTTAAAGTCCAGAGAAGGTAAATTGGAATTTATCATTCGTACTTCCAGCACGTCGAAAGTGGAAGTTGATATCATAATCACTATTGTCTGCCTAAAATCCAAGCTAGAATTTGTTTAAAAACTTAAGGTATGATTCTTTTTTTATTATCACTTTTGTTTAACTTGATCAAATGGAATTGATTTCGATTGCATAGTCATCTGGGAGGTACAAGGGCGGATGTCCACAAGTTACCTCACAGCTATGGGTTATCACATACTGACAGTTGGAACTTAATGGTGGTAATGAGTGCTCTTTGTGCCTGTGATTTCTTTACATATGCTGAGGTGTTTCTTTTTTTCCTTTTTTTCTACATTTGACTTTTGAATCTTAATTGTATTTTGTACAGGGTCTTGTGAAGCTCTGTTTACATTGCACTGTCAGTATACACATGGATTCATGGTAAAATCTGTTTTTAGTTGTGAATTTTAGTTAACTAATTAGCCCTTTTTCTTTCCTGATTATTCCTTCTATCATCACATCTGATTAGAAACAACTTGACAAATGATAGTGTTGGATAGATTATGCAAGTCATATGGACGATGAAGGAAGGCTGCGGTTAAGGGCATTAGAAGAAAAAAGATGAGAAAGGATTGGTATTTCTTAAACGATGTGAAAATACATATTGCAGACAAGAAAGTTGTTCAAATCTTTTAAAAAAATCCCAAATAAAGTTGATAGCACAATATCATTGATATCCCACGGGAGTTTAGGATTCATGCTAAATGGGATGCTCCAGCTGGAGATTTTCTTTAGTTAACAAACCTAAAGGTGAGCATATATTATTAAACTCAAAATGTTCATTACTTTACTAATTTTGGTTGGTGTTTCTGAAAGATAATCTCACTTTACAGGATGGAATCTGTTTACAATTTATGGTAACTTATGGGCATCTTGTCAATGTAAAAAAGGTATTATTTTCTTGTTTCATTTTTAGTGTTGTAAATTTGTAATGCAAGTCTTATATATGATTATTTTATTTCAAAATGTTGCACTTAACAATAAATTTTATCGGGTTGTTGTCATATTGGAACTCCTTTCCATCAACAGATGGTTGAGCTACTGCTTTTACATGATGGTATGTGCTTCTTTGTGGATAACGACATTAATATATTAGCATTGATTGTTCAAATATTATTCCATTACCCCATCCAATCAGAAGTCTGTTCATTACAATTTTGTTTCTAAATGTATACCGTCTTTTATTTTCTTTATTTTATATGGTTTGGCTAGATCATAAGGTTCTTTTACTCTTTATTCGTCCAGACAACTGATGCAATGATATTCTTCAAATATTTCTACAACTTTGCAGCAAATTCAAGGAGGAACTCACTTAATACGGTATATTCCTATAAATCGTAGCCTATGGTAAATTTTTATCTATTGCTAACTTCTCATCAACTTCTATATTTTTCACATGGAAATTATGGTTATTTTAATTTATATCTATTTTCCTACTTATATTCCTACATAACTAGGAGTTCAAATGTCTATTTTCCTGCTTATATTCCCACATAACCATGAGAAAGGCCAAAATTCTCCTCCTTTAACGTACTTTATGATGTTTGTACTACTGAGAAAACGAAGAGCTGAACAAAACAAGTCCCCTCCTCCACATACGGATTTTGTCTATTTCCTACTTTTTATCTATTTTTAAAACAATTTTCATCATGTATTTGTTAAATTTTTATATATCTTTTCATGGGTTTTGTGTGATAACTTTCTCCCTGTTCCTGTTTCTACTATTTTTCGTAATTATTTTACTTCCGCATTTTTTATCTTTTTTTTTGTGAAGGTAGGCCTAGATGTCTCCATCACATTAATACCCTTGGTGTGAATTTAGTGTAAATAGTTTTCTTTTGTAATGTAACATCCCAAAAATCATAACCAAAAATTTCATTTTTGATATAACGATTCATAAAAACGATTTAAAGAAAACACCATCGAGTTATTTCATTTCATAAAAGTCATAGATCATGAGTCTCAAAAGCATGTCATAATATAGTCACAACGTTAGAGTACAACCCCAAGAACATCATAGTGCGGAAAATAATGGTGTGATGCGCTGCTACCGTGTCGGCTTTTTTCCCTTCGAAGAAGAAGGACCTGAAACAAAAACTGTAAACTGTAAGCACAAAGCTTAATGAGTTCCCTCATCATACCAAATACCATACATAGCACATACTGTCTAACATATTCGGGTACTAGCTACCCCTTCGGTCTCTTTCAACCGGTAACTGGCCTAGCATTTCAGGGTGCTGGCCTACCCCTTCGGTCATGTCGACCGGTACCTCGTCTAGCATATCAGGGTGCTGGCCTACCCCTTCGGTCCTTTCGACCGGTACCGGGGACTATTTCACCCCCTACTTCTACCACATAGCATCCTAGTGCATAAACAAATAAGTCATATACTGCCTAGCTTATCTAGGTGCTGGCATACCCCGTCCGCCCTATCGACCGGTATTGGGGTCTATCCTACCCCTCCTACCCTTATCACATAACATCCAGTGTTGCAAAACTCGGCCTACTCGGCCGAGTACTCAGACGAGAACTCAAAATCGGCCCTCCACCGAGGCGAGTTATGTGAACTCGGCAAAAAAAACTCGGATTAAGTCAAACTCGGTCAAAAATCGGTCAACCTCGGTCAAAACTCGGTCAACATCTCTCTAACTCATGCCTACTCGGTATTACTCGGTCTTACTCGGTCAACATCTCTCTAACTCATGCCTACTCGGTATTACTCGGTCTTACTCGGTCTTACTCGGGCCTACTCAGTCAACAAAGTCAAACTCGGCCAACTCGGTCAAACTCGGTCAAAGGGTCAAAATTGTCATGAAAAGTTTAAAAAAATCAAGGATTTCAAGATTAATATGTATAATACATTTAATGATTTATTATTTAACACACACACATGTGATTATGACTACATATATATATCTTAAATTTTCAGTAATTATTCACGAAGTGAGAAAATAGTGTGTATTTCAGCTTTTATGTATTCACATGTATCTAATTTTGTTATATATTTCAATCAAATTATGATTTTAACTTATGATTTTGACATATATAATTTTCCTAAAAATATTTCTACATGAATTACCGAATCCGAGTACTCCCCGAGTACTCCCGAGTACTCACTACTCGGTAGTCGGCCGAGCAAGTACCGAGTAGCGAGTTCTACAATCATAGCATACTAGCACATAAAGCATAACATACCAGATAATTATCACAAAGACAATCATCTAACAACCAACTCCTACTAGTGGGCCGGCATTGTGGCCTTAGACCCACTTTTACTGGAAGGTAACTCACCTCAATGTCGCGAAGTAGCTGAACTGTCCTCGGTACTGGGATCAACTCCTCTCAAACTCCTACACATAACAGTCTCCTTTAATTACTCTTTCATACTCATAACCCCTTTAACGGTCAATTCTGGACAATGGTCAAAGTCAAAGTCAAAGTCAACATCATGGTCAAAGTCAACATCCTGGTTGACTCAACTTGCCGAGTTGGTCCATCAACTCGTCGATTTCCATAATTCATAAAACCCTAAAATCCTGTTCCTACTCGTCGAGTCCTTTCATGAACTCGTCGAGTTCATCCTCATAGCATAATCGGGACCTCTTACCCACAACTCGTCGAGTCCCTCCTTGAACTCGTCGAGTTCTCCTTTATACAGAGTCGGGGCATTTTGCTCATAACTCGCCGAGTTCCTCCTTGAACTAGTCGAGTTCTTCAATCTTCAAGCCCAAAACATGTCCAACTCGCTGAGCCGTATCCTAGACTCAACGAGTTTACTCAGTAACAGAAAAGGTTGGGGGACCACGACCCGACTCACCGAGTCGTATGAACGACTCGTCGAGTCCCCCAAAGTCCAAATATATCCAATCGATTTTAATCGGTCTTAATGCATCCAAAACGTAGATCTGGCCTCCTAGGGTCGATATAACACGTAAAGTTACAAACTTTACGTTCATGCATGGGTTATCTAGCTCAAAAGGCCCTAAAATAAGGTTCACAAGTTTCATGGGACTCCCATGGCCATAGAGTTGGCACCTTTATGCCATGGAGTCCCTCAAGGGTTCCAGATCTGAAGTCAATACCCCAAAACATGCTTGCATCGATGAATGGTTCCAAAATATGCTCCTAAAAGCCCTAAACTACTCCATGAAGAGATCTAGTAAATGAATAGTCAAGGTATAGACTTTATGCCTCAAATGAACTAGAAATGGAGCACAAACTCTGGATCTACTTGTTTCCTCTTGAACCCCCAAGCTTCCTCTTCCTTCTCAAGCTTCAAAATCACCAAGAACACACAACAATGGCTTAAGAACACTCACAATGGGTTAGGGTTTCGTGACTAAGGTCTGGAGGTGATGGAGGTTGTAGTTGAGGCCAGATAAGGTGTTTAAATAGGGTGCAAACCCTAAAAATTAGGGTTTCACTTTGGCAGACCTACTCGTCGAGTCGAGGCTTCTCGACTCGTCGAGTAGACTTCAAGTCCCGCGTCCAAGAAAATATCCCATTCCTACTCGACGAGTTTGGGGCCTCCAACTCGTCGAGTCCCTTTGCAAATATGAATAATTCTTATTAAAATACATACCAAGAACCGGGCGTTACATGTAACTTATTTTCTTCCTTATCATCATTGTTTCTGAATTGTAGGTTCAAAAGGGATTATAGAAAGGATTATAAGGTTACAAACTACATTAAAAAAAGAGAACTGGAAACCATTTATATCATTTTGGTAACATCAAACATGGTCATTTAGAAATATAGTGCGCCTTGTGATGGAATTTGTTCTATTTATTTGTGCTGGTAGTGTGGATTTAAAACTACAAGTATATAGTTAAAATCTACAAAAACAAAAAAAAATCACAGAAAAACATTGAAACTGAAAAAAAACACAAAAACCCTCGAGACCATGCGGAGCATGGGACACTTGTTATATAATAATAAAAAACAACCCTTATGAATAGTATATTTTTGTGTTTTTATAATTTGACCACAAAAATTTCTTATTTCATATTGTTGCTACAAACCTACTTTCTTATTTTATATTTTGGCCATATAAGTTTCTTATTTGGTAGATTTGGTCCCTTGACTTTCGTATATTGACAATTTTCTCATCTTTATTTTTTAGAATGGCACTTTCCACCCCTTACTTTGTAGAATGGCACTTTCCACTCATTTACTTTGTAAAATGTTACTTTTACATCCTCAAATTTAGACAATGACAATTTCCACCCCCTTCAAATTTTAAATATCGCCATGTTTGCAGGTTTGGCCCCTAAACTTTCGTATGTCGGCAACTTTAATCCCCTCCGAAAACCATGCACACAAAACGATAAAATGATGAATATTAGTACATTCCTTTTGTGTGACTAGAACATAGTAAGAAAAACCTCGTCCGCGTCCCCCGCGAAACGGGGAGGAAACAATTTCTAGTTATTATATATAATAAAAAAACATGCTCTTATGAATAGTATATTTTTGTATTTTCTTAATTTGCCTACAAAAGTTTTCTTATTTCACATTTTGGCCACAAATCTACTTTCTTATTTCATATTTTGGCCACAAAAGTTTCTTATGTTGGCAGATTTGATTTCTAGACTTTCATACATTATCAATTTTCTCTCCCTTATTTTCTAGAATGGCACTTTCCACCCCTTACTTTGTAGAGTGGCACTTTCCACCCCTTTACTCTGCAAAATGTCACTTTTACACCCTCAAATTTATATAACGACATTTTCCACTCCTTCAACTTTTGAATATTACCATGTTTTCATATTTAATCCCTAGACTTTCGTATGTCGACAACTTTAGTGCCCTCCGAAATCGTGCACAGAGAACGATAAAAATGATGAATAATAGTACTTTTCTTCTGTATGGCTAAAACATAGTAAGTAAATCTCGTCTGCATCTCCCATAAAACGGGAGGAGACAATTTCTAGTTGAAATAAATAAAAAGCAGATTAGATTGATGAATAGTAGTATTTTTCTTTTGTATGACTAGAATTAAACATAATAAGCAAATCTCGTCTAATCTCCGACGAAACGGGAGGAAGCAATTTCTAGTTAAAATAAATAAAAACGATTAGATTTGTTATTTAAAAAAACTAGATTATGACTTGCGTAAAACGCGGGGGAACGTATAAAAAAATACATATAAAGTCATAAAAAAAACGACACAATAATTAAAAAAAAATAAAATAACAAAAACAAACTTCGCGTTATTGATTATATTGAAAAGTTGAAAAAATAATATGAAATGTCTGGATATCTGATATCGTTGAAGGACCTCTTTATAGACAACATTTTTTTCAATAAATGACAGCAATATTCAGTATGGTTCATGTTTTTTCAAAAGTAATAAAAGTAAATAGCAATGTACTTTGAAAGTTTATTGTTATAAGTTGTAAAGTTGTTTTTTTTGTAAAGCTGTAAAGCTTTTTTCTTAAGTAAGTAATTTACAGCAATGTACTTTCAAAGTACATTGCTATATAGTATCCTAGTGTTTTTTAAAACTTAACAGAAATTGTCTCTATGTATAGATGTAAGGGACACTTTTACACTTTCCCGATTAAACAATTATATTGCAAAAAGAATATAGAAAGAGAAAGGAAAAATAAAGCCAACACTCAACGATCTTGCCACTCTTGTCCCCATTACAATCTAATGTTAATACCCGTACGTATCTAAAATCTAAATACAAGTTATTAATTAAATTATAAAATATTTTTAATTGGATTTTATTGTTTATATGATTAGGTTGTAGCTATAGGGCATGCAGCAATCAAGAAATACAACCCATCATTGGTATATTTTTTGAAAAATGATTAATGCATTGAATATAATTATTAATTTATTATAGATTTCGTATCCTTCATCTCAACTGTTGCATTTGGTGAAACAGCCGAAGAGAACTAAATATGAATTGTTTGACGACTGTTTTAGTCTAAAAATATAAAACTTGGTGATAGGCATTTTAGTAATTTCGAAAAGTTTAAGTCTAAACTAACTAAGTATGAATAGTTTGTCAAGGTTTCAGTCTAAATTTATAAAAAGATGATTAAGGGCATGTTGAATTTTAGTAATATGGAAAAGTTCAAGTCTAAACTTACTAAGTATGAATAGTTTGACAATGTTTCAATCTAAATTTATAAAAAGATGATTATGGCATTTTTTGTTATTTGGCAACGTTTTAGTCTAAAAATACAAAACATGATCAGGGGCATTTTAGTAATTTGACAAAGTTTCAATCTCAGCTTGCATGTGATGTTTTAAAAATTTCAGGCTAAAAGGTTTCTGTTTGAGAAATTGAATTTGTATCGCAACCTCATTGTTCTAGATCTTATTAATATAGGTTTATCAATTGTTAATAGTTCGAAGAAAGATAGAAATGATTTCATTTTTATCTTCTCCAATAAATAAAAAACGATTATATAATCATTTGAAAGTAGAAATAACTGTTGACAGAACGTAGATCGGATATTCATAACAATGTATATATTAGTTTTAAATAACCATTATGATAAAATATCTATATTTGTAAACTATTAATTTTTTGAGAAACATTGATTAGTTATACATTTATATTTATTTTTTTATATGTTTCCCGCGTTTTACGCGGGTCATAATCTAGTTAACATATTAAAAGTAAATATCATTTAAAAATTCGTTCATTTTTTTAAATGTTAATAAAATTTTAAAAGTAAATTTTATATATATATATATATATATATATATATATATATAT